CTTTTGGAAAGCAAATCCCTGATATCATTCCGGGATCCGAAGGAGCAGCTTCACTGCAGGCAGGTACAGAGATCACCGAGTTTCCGGGCTACCACGAGTCGTCTCATTTGCAATGTGGGTCTCAGCAGTTTGGTAATCGCAGCCTTTGCTGGGCGACAGAATCGTTCAATCTGTTCTGCTTCGGTTTTCCTGCTGCCAGGCAGGGCTGCTGTTCCCTGCACGAGCTGCGATGACCCACCAATTAATAAAAACCCGGTGATTTGCAGCTGCAGATGCCAGCTAAAATGACAGTGCAGTTTTCCTTCCAAACATAACCCGTGCCAAGCGCTGCATTTACATTAAATTTTTTATTCTAAAGTCGTCATAATGAGCTCATGTCAGTGTGTGGTGTTTGCCCTCTCCCCGGACAAGGCCCTGATGCTGAAAAGTCAGCTTCGCCCATCAATTTTATAGCGACAGCGTAAACGTTATGTCATTGGCGTGGAGCCACAGTGAGTCAGGCTGGGCCTTGGGCAGCTGCCTGGAGAGGGAGACGGGGAGAGCAGATCGCTCTGAAGTCCAAGGTAGAGAACATTGGCACGGCCAGCCCCAGGAGTGCCAAGAGCGGTCCCAAGTGCAGCCCGAAATACCGTAACAATACACATGTAGCCTACAAACAAGCGATATTTGCCAAAGAGGCTGGCTGGACCTGGAAGGCTGGCAACGGGGGAGAGCGAAGCTGCGTGTCGTGCAGTTTCCTTTGGGTCCGTGCATGGTGAGAGGGCTGCTCCGGGGGGCAGCTGGGTGTACAGGCTTTTCTGTGCCTATTCCTGTGCCTCCAAGGGACTCGACTCCTTTGTGTGTTAAGATGGAGGCAAATATATTAGAGGAATAAATTGGAAAAAATAGCAGCAGCTGTAGTTGTAGTGACTCTGATTCCTGCACTTGAATTTTCAGCATGTTTCACAGATCTGTCTGTGACCCTTCAAAAATATGGGCGCTAGACAGCTGACAGCACTGGGGAGCACTGGTGTCACTGCTGGGCAGGCAACGTGCTGGTGGAAAGCTGCCTGAGGATAATGGTTAGGCAAATGTTAATGACTTGTCAGCGTCTCCAGTTCATTTATTTTTATCAACACGCTGAGCTTATAACTAGAGGCTGTATTGATCAGTGCAGCTATTGACACTTCCATCACCCCCAGCCCACGTGTCGTGTCTTGAGACTGAGGAGGGAGAGACAAGCTTGTAGCATGTCCTGTACGAAAGGTCACAGCAGCAGCTCTGGGTGCTACTCGAATATCCATCACGAATCATGAGAATGAATGCTTTTCTTTGGTGTTATTTACTGGGACAGTTTAACCACTTCCCTCTACATTAACCTTCCATATGGGATTTTGTTGGTGGATCACGGGGAGCTCAGAAGTTAGAGGGCCACTGATTTCTGCAGGGCTGGGATCAACCGGCTGCATTGTGCTGGTCTCAGCAGAGGGGGAACAGAGGCTTGTCAGAGCAGCAGGAGGCAGTCCTTGCCCTTTAGTGCTCTAAGCTGCTTGGACAAGTCCCAAGCACTGGCCGTTTCCAGCCGCACGTGATAATAGATTGTCAATGGGAATTTGTTTCTGAGTTCTCTGTCCACGGGTAGTAAACAGTGGAAGAACACTGGGCACAGGGACCTCCTGTCTGGTGGCACCGGGGAACTGGTAGGGATGGCAGAACGTGTTTCCTGACTGGTTGAGATCTTCCTGTTGATCTTGCCTTTCTGGAAAGATTCTCTCAAGCAAGCTTCAGGCAAAACCTGCAAGAGGGACTTGTTCTGGAGGTAAAGCAGATTTGTCTCCAGAGCAGACACAGTGCAGAGTGCAGGACAGCTTCCTCCCACCTGCCATCCCTTAGCCGAGACCTCACAGCCAGCGAGACCGTGGCCCATTTCATCCCTGACTTCTCTCCTGACTTAACTACAAAGGACAGGGCTGTGGATTATGGATTTCCTTCTTTTTCAAAGCTGAAGACCCACCATCTTACTCATTTGCGTTGTTCGTACCACCTGCATCTCAAAGGTCTCTAAGCTATCACGGCACCCTTGGGCAATCAGAGTTTTGCGCTGTTATGACCCCAGCTCAGGACTCAGTGACCCAGAAGAGCAGGTTACACCCTTTAAGCTGTCTCTGATCAGGATGTTAAGTACAATTTTTGTGCTTGCTTGAGCCAGAAGAGAACCTGCCCCTGGAAAGGCTGTTGAAAATGGTGGGTCAGGAGGAGTTTGGGATGGAGACTTGATCCTGCCAGTTGCCTGCAGAGATAGTTCCCAGGGTGCTTATAGGAAGGAGAAACAATCTGTCATACTCACGTAAAGCCACAACACAAGTCAGGTTCACTACCTGTGCCTGCTTCTCCCTGTGAGGTTTTGTCTGCTTACACCAGACCGAGCTTTGGCCCAGGGTGGGTGTGCCGCAGCAGTGATCCAGCATGGATCCATGGCTGAGCGAGGAGCTGTTCTGCTGGTCTCCACGTGCCGTTGAGAGGCTCCTTTCTGTGGGGTTAATTCCATGGCCAACTCTTTGTCCTTGGCACCGAAGCCTCAGAAGAAGAACTAATGAAACACAGAGGAAGGAAGGAAGGAGCTTTGATTTCCAACTTGCGCTGCCCTTGTGTTTGCATGAAAATCCATCCTGCAGCGCAGGGAGGGATCAGAAGGCCACGAGACCAGGCTGCCGGGCTGGCTGGGTCACAGCTGTGCTCCTGTCACCCACAGAGACCACTGGGTGCCTGGGTTTGAAAGGTTACCTTGTCCACAGCCTTAATTGGTCCTTCGTGTGGGGGTCGTGGCCCAGGCAGTGGCTGACAAGCATCTGCTCCACCCCGGGTGCCTCTGGGGACAGCGATTGTGGTGAGGAACCGGAGTTAAACTCTTCTGTCTGGTACTGATGCTGCAAGGAAAGAGAGAGCACTGGAGGCTTCAGAGAAGCAGAGAGGTGGAGGCACAGAGAAGTGTCCTGATCTTTGCAGCTGCAGGATAAAGATCAGAAATGGAACAGAGTTAAGGACCTTTTGCAACAACTTCCCCAGCAGCTCAGCTGTAACGTGGAGAATAACTGACTCCATGGCACTGGAGTTCTCACTGCCGGCAGGGGCAGACCTACTGTTAAGACACAGATTTTACATAAAAAAAACCCAAAACCACTTCAACACAATTTTTGTGTGCCCATGGAGATATACAGAAGGGTTCACATGAGTGTTGCTTTTAAAGTTGACCCTTTGGAGATGAAGTGGCATTGGTGGTCTTCAGTCACTTCTGCTGAACACCTCCAAGGCTCCAAAGCTGTCCTCGAGTGCCAGTGAGCAAGCCTTAATGCTAGAGCCATGAGATTTTTTTCAAATAAGAAAAATAGACAGGAATAGCTTCCCTCAGTCTTCTGCCTTGCCCAACCTTTATCCTGTACGAAAACCAAAGACGGTCAGAAGCGTTCTGCCTTTTTGCAGGTTCGTCACTCACACTTTTTCGTGACAGATTTGGAATGGTTTGGGTGAGCGCGTCCCAGGGAGCTGGATGTCCAGATGGCCAGCATACGCATAAACCTTGCATTACACCACACCCAAAGGGAAGCCAAACCAGCCCGTATGCTTCCCTCTGCCTTCCCATCCACTTCACACTTGAGTTCAGGGGCTCGTAGGAAGGTTCTGGCTTGCTGCTACAGGAATAGGTTAGCTTGGATGTGAAATCTCACTAGCAGTGATGGCAAACAGCATTACAGGCATGAGATACGGTGCCACCGGATCTCACTGAGACTATACAAAGGATTGTCCCAACAGTAAATTTTCTGGTGGTTTATCCAACCCGCTCTGAAGGAAACCAAGCGATGTGGTTTCTGCCACTTCCCTTTCAGAGTGCCTTTCTCAGCCAGATAACCCCTGCACTGGGGAAACATTTTCTCGCCGCATAGCCTCATTTCCAAACAAGTTTCATGCTAACTCCTTCCCGCAGTGTCCCCCGGGGGTGGGGATCCTACGGAATTAAGGGCATACTGCCAGAGAGGTCAAAATGCTGCAGGTTTTTTCGAGGTCAGGAAGCGATGGGCTGTAAATACAACCATCAGCGTCCTGCTGGTCCAACAGCTTTGCAATACACTTGCCAATGTACCTTTCTCAATGCATCTCTTTTTTTCCCCCCTCTCTGCTTATAGCTGTCCTGATGTCGCTGTAAATTCATCCTGGAACTTCATTTGAGGAAGAGACCTACTGAATCAAAGGCTTCCTTCTGCTCTTCCCCTTCCCATAACTTCCATCGAGATGGCATCTGATAGCCCCGAGTCACTGATGGCCCTGTGCACAGATTACTGCCTTCGCAACTTGGAAGGGACTCTCTGTTACCTACTGGACAATGAAACTCTCCGGCTCCATCCTGACATCTTCTTGCCAAGCGAGATTTGTGACAAACTTGTCAATGAGTACGTTTCATGCCTGTGGAGAAGCTGCTTTCTGGTTTGGGAAGGAGCTGGGCGCTCAGGGAAGGGGGAGTATGGCTCTGTAAAACGAGTGATGGGAAAGGTGGCTGGGAAAAAAATTCATAGGGCTGGTTTTTTTCCCAGTTGATGCTCATATTGGAAATAAGGATTTGCATTAACTACAGAAGGAGGTGTCCCCAGGGGTTATTGCACTGCTATATATCATTCTAGTCTCTGTGGAAATCACCATTTCCACACAGGTCAACCCAGAGTGAAACACAGGTCACTGCTGCTTCCAAGAATGTCAGGAAGCAACAAAGGAGCCTTCCCATTTCCCACCACTGAAACACTACAGTTCGCTCTCAAGCCAGAGAAATAAGAGTGCAAAGTGCTAACAGATGTTAAATTTTAAGGCTGTTACTCCCATAGCTTTACAAAGCAACCTGTTTCCAGGGAGTTGTATAATTTGGCTATCACAGTCTCTCTTGGCTGACCTCCTGCCCACAAAGTCTAGCAGAAAACTTTGGTTCATTAATTTTCTGAAAAATAATGATTAAAAAAAAAATCAAATTACTAGCTTTAAACAGCTAGGGGAAAAAAAAAATCCCTGAGTCTGTGCTTGCCAGAATCCAGTTTGCTCACACACACACACACGTGACCTTGCACAAAATCCTTGCCTGAGATTCTCCTAAGGATTCTGGGCACAAAGAGGTAATAGGCCAGCTCCCATGACCCCAAAAAGCTATTCTGGACAATCAGGAGGAAGTCTGTGTGTACTTACACACTTGTCACATCTTCTCGTAACCAGCGAAGGTGCTGGAGCTGTAGCTGAGCCTCTGTGTTGTGCTGTGCTAACGCTGTTGCCCCAATACAGGTATGTGGAGTTGGTGAAGACAGACAGCATCTTCGAACCCCATGAAAGCTTCTTCACCCTGTTCTCAGATCCCCGGAGCACCAGGCTGGCTCGGATCCACTTGCAGGAGCAGATTGTGCAGGACCAGGACCTGGAGGCCATCAGGAAGCAGGTGGTATTGCACTGACAGCCTCCCGCTGCTGCTTCGCATAGCTGCATGGGCACCTGCTAGATTCCCAGGCACACAGAGGTTCCCAAAACTCCATCCTTCGCTGTCCAGATTTTCTCTGGGAGAACCTCAGCTTCTCCCTTCTCAGCTCCCAGAGCCACTGTAGCGAACGGGATGGGGACACTGGTCAGGTTCAGTGATGTGTGGTCTGAGGCTCTCCCAGTGGGAGGTGTAGCAAACAGGGTAGGCACTCTACCTGCAAAATATTTCTAACTTTGATTTCCCATCTTCCAGGATCTTGTTGAGCTCTACCTGACTAACTGTGAGAAGCTGACAGCCAAGAGTCTGCAAACCTTGGTGAGCTTCAGCCACACACTGATCTCCCTGAGCCTCTTTGGCTGCTGCAATATCTTCTATGAGGAGGAGAACCCCGGAGGCTGTGAAGATGACTGTTTGGTGAACCCCACTCGCCAGGTGTTGGTCAAAGACTTTACTTTTGAAGGCTTTAGCCGCTTGCGCTTCCTGAACCTGGGCCGCTTGATCGAAGGGGTAAATGTGGAGACGTTGCTTCGGCCTTTGGCCTCCCTTGCAGCTCTTGATCTGTCTGGGATCCAGCTGAATGACGTGGGATTTCTGACCCAGTGGAAGGACAGTCTGGTTTCCTTAGTGCTTTACAACATGGACCTTTCAGAGGAGCACATCCAAGTGATCGCACAGCTTCGCAAGCTCAGGTCAGCAGATCTGTTCTTCCTTCTTTATCCTTTTCCTGTCTTTTAGGAATGGTCGACTTGCATGCTAATGGAGAGCTACCCACTGCTGGTTTGAAGTTCTAAACCTTCCCATGAGCAGGCTCATTGACTCACTGTACCTCTGAGATGTCTAAAGTCAGCCTGAATTTTGCTTGCAAAAGGACACCAGTTGCCAGAAACTGCCTCTTGGAAAAACAAAAAGCAACACACACACCCCACAAAAAAAACCCCCACACACCACAGCTGCACACAGAAAAAAAAAGGAAAGAAAAAACCAACCAAACCCAAAAACACCCCACCCACCCCACCCCCTAAACAAAACAGAGCAGCTGAACACCTGAGAGATGGCAAAGAATTACTGCAGATGTGCACATACACTAATATAGTGATAATCACACTGTGAAGCTCAGTCCTTGTCAAACGGGAACATCCAAAGTTTCAGCCTGGCTCTGAGATAAAACTGGGAAAAACTCTGGGCTCAGCCTGTCTCCTGGCTGTGCTCTGGGGAAGCACACTGTGCACAGATGGTGCAACCAAGGGAGAAGCCGTGTGAATAAATAGGCACCCCTGCCCTAGCAGCGCTGACAGTGAAATGATTTCCTGAAACAGAGTCGAGACAATTGCTATTCAAACTGCACAGCGGTATCAGGAAAGAGATCCAGGACTTTCCAAGCCAAAGAGAAGGGCCTTACTAATCACACAAAGGATACCGTGCGATGGCTTACTTGGTATCGGCTCTGCTGACTGCAGACACCAGGGGGTACCACGTTAGTGTATGGCCTGGGAGCCTCAGGGAAGTCCTGGAGAACATTTTCTAAACCCCAGTACTTTAACTCCCAGTGACTTGCAATGAAACTTAGTCTACAACAGGTAGAAGACACTTCTGGGAGTGGGATGTTGGGTCCTCTCTTAGGCAGCTTACAAAAGTCTCTCCCAAGGGTCTTAGCTACTGCTTGGCAGGCAGGAGCAGCCCCTGTCCTGTAAGGGACCCCACCTGTGCATGATGCCTGGTCAGGTTGTCCCACCACTCCCTCAGCATCAGGGTTTCCCCAAAGCTTAAGCAGTTAAATACCTGAATAGAAATGAAATCAGGGCAGTGTAATAGCCTGGGGTGGAAAAAACAGAAGATTGGAGAGGCAGACAAAAACTTGTGTAACTTAATTTGTGGGATGAGGCAACAGATGTTTCTGGGGATGCAAAAATCCTGGCTTGCATCTTAATCACCAGGCAGAAATGCTCAGGTGGCTGCTGGGATGGAGCTTGGGAAAAGCAGTTCCCGAGCCTGAAGCAATTTCCTTTGTGATGTGTGGCCAAATGATTCACTGTGCTCCGCAGACCTCTGCCAGATACCTGCCTGCTTCAGTTAGACACCGGGCCAGATGGTACTGAACCACATTCCTGCATCTTGTGAAGGAAATCATAGTAACAATAAATAAATAAAAATAATCACACTTGGCTTGTCATCTTCCTCTGGTAGGGGCAGAAACCCCAGCTGATGCTTTCCAGGCTCTGAGCTCCTCTCTGTCATTTGCAGGCACTTGGATATCTCCCGAGACCATCTGTCCAGTTATTACAAATTCAAGCTGACCCGGCGGGTTCTAAACCTGTTTGTGGAGAACTTGGTAAACCTCACTTCGCTCGATATCTCAGGGCACACCATGCTGGAGAACTGCACGATCCCAAGCATGGAGGAGAAGATGGGCCAGACGAGGTAAGGACACAGCAATTACCCAGGTCGGCTTGGATGGATAACTAAAAGATGAATTAAGAACAGTTCTCTTGTAAAGTTACTGCTGTTTCTGTTGCACACGTTTATCCCTTCACACAGGATCAGCTGGGGTGAATTTCTAGTGTTACATTTAGGAGAAGCCGACTGGTGTACAGCTGGTCTAGCTACTGTCACCATGGAGCGGTACAGTCAGAGTGAAGAGAGAGCAGGTCGCTGTCTCTGGGGCAGGAGACACCTGAAGAAACATGGTACCAACATGAATGATCTCTTTTTTTTTTTTTTCTCCCCTCTCAGCACTGAGCCAGCAAAGAGCAGCATTGCTCCCTTCCGGGGTCTGAAACGACCGCTCCAGTTCTTGGGCCTTTTTGAAACATCTCTCTGCCGCCTGACACATATCCCAGCCTACAAGGTAATTGCCTACAAGAATATTGGCACTGGGTACTTGGCAGAAGTTGGAAGAACATGAAAATTACCAGCTGCCAGTAGAGTGGAGTTCTGAGGGTCGTGGGTGTGACAACGGAGCTCTGACCTTTCAATAGCTACTTGATAACGCAGGAAAACTACCAGAAGGCAAGACCGGTACCTTTACAAGGGTAAAAAGCATGCCTTTTGGACAAGGGCATGGAAAAATCATCCTGCCTGAAGGACCAGGATGTCTGTGACTATAAGAGGATTTAAGACAATAGGAGCCTTACTTGTGAATAGCATCCTCCTGCCCCAAAGGTGCCATTTCTTGTCCCTCTGGGCTGAGAAGTGACTCAACCTCTTTGCTCTCATCCCAGGCCAAACCCTACAAAAGCAGGGCAGAGGGAAGTTGTACCCTTCGACCTTCCAGATCTGTCCTCAGGAGTTCCCTTCTCATGTTGGTTTTCCTCCATCATTTCTTCCCTGACTCTTTTTGTTCCTCCATGCCAGGTGAGTGGAGACAAGAACGAAGAACAAGTCCTGAACGCTATCGAGGCTTACACTGAACACCGGCCAGAAATCACCTCCCGCGCCATCAACCTCCTTTTTGACATTGCCCGTATCGAACGCTGCAGCCAGCTGCTGCGAGCCCTTCAGGTAAGCCCCATGCCAGCATTTACCTCACCCTTACAAGGGAAATTCTGCAGCCTCAGTCTTTTCTTCACCCTGGGACACCGTATCGGGCCATTCTGGAGAACGTTCCAGTAGCGTGGTGGAACTGTGTACCTTCATTCCATAAGCATGTTCCTGCAGTGCCTGGGTCACTTCAAGGCTCCACAGCAAGTCAGTGGCACTGAAGCTTCATGTTGCTTCTCCACAGCTGGTGATCACAGCCCTCAAGTGCCACAAAGATGACAAAAACATCCAGGTGACGGGCAGCGCGGCGCTGTTCTACTTGACCAACTCCGAGTACCGCATGGAGCAGAGCGTAAAGCTGCGGCGCCAGGTCATCCAGGTGGTGCTGAACGGCATGGAGTCATACCAGGAGGTCACAGTAAGAGCAGCCCAGCGTCCTTTGGCTCCCGTAGTCCTCCCTCCCTGTATTAAGTCTTCAGCCTGGTGTTAGCATTTGGGTCTTCTAAAACTCCAGGACGTGAGCCAAGGCAGACACCAGAGAAGCTGTTGCCCAGAGCTGCTCCTTGCCTTTGCTCAGTGATGGGAATTACATGCAGGGTACTCCCGGCCACACAATGTTCTCTAGAACAAGGGGCAGAGAGCGATGATAGCAAGGCTCCTTTTTATCAGATTACAGTGGTTGAAGGGTGCGTACAACACACAGCATTGGGGGTGTTGAGTCAACAGAAAGAAACATCTGCCAACACCCTGTACTGGAAGCTAGCTGACATACACGATGATGCCACTGGCTTGCAGAAGGGTAGAAAGTCACAGGCAGCGATGAAGTGGCTTGGAAAGTGATTGTGTGGCCATGTGAGACTAGAGTGACAGCGAGAGAGAAGAGGGTACCAACAGAGCACGGCTCAAGCAGAGTGCTAGACAGGAGGGCAACAAGAATTCTAGTGGTTATAGTCAAGCAGGAAGATGGTTTCAGTACCAAGCAGCAAAGGGCCATGAGGGGATGGGTCCATGTTTCCTTAGCCACCTGGCCCAGTGTTTGCTTCCTTTTGACCCAGGTGCAGCGAAACTGCTGCCTGACGCTGTGCAACTTCAGCATTCCCGAGGAGCTGGAGTTCCAGTACCGCCGAGTCAACGAGCTGCTGCTGAACATCCTCAACCAGAGCCGGCAGGATGAGTCTATCCAGCGCATTGCTGTGCACCTCTGTAACGCTCTGGTCTGCCAGGTGGACAACGATCATAAAGAAGCTGTGGGCAAGATGGGGTTTGTCATGGTTGGTATGGTCCCAGGGTGTCTACTTACCCTTAACCCGGGCTAGCACACTTCCCTTGCAGCAGTCCCCCAGGTGGATCCAGCCAGTGATCCAACCTGACAGTATCCCAGGAGGGAACTAGTGTCCCAGCACTGCTGACTGTCCTGGAACCTGTCCCTCCACGGGACATGTTTTACTGGCTTGCCAGCACTGGAAGTCATGATCTCAGAGCCAGGCTGGCTGTGACAGCGGGGAAGCAGTGTGACCTTATACTGTACCTCTCCACCACACCACATCACTCCCAGAACTGGTACCACCTTTTGACTAGCTCCTTCTGCATCTCCCTGAGTTTGTATCAGCTTCCCAACTCATGTCAACTCATATCCCTCACCTTTTCCAAGAGCTGCAGCAGCTGCTGCTTTGGTGCCATTACACCACGTTCCAGGCTTTGTCGTACAAATCAAAACTGACTTGACTGCAGACTCGACAGCTCGAGTCTGTGACATGCTTCAGCTCTGTGAATGCTTGCAACGTTGAACATAACCCAGTCCCACTGGTTTAGAGAAAGAGATACCCAGTGGGTTCTCTACAAGGGATCGCAGTTGCCTATGCCTGCAAATTGGCTGTAACCAGCCCCGCAGTGCTATAGCTGCTAGTTTTAGCTCTGTGATTCTTGAACTATTCTCACTCTTCCTCTTCCTCTGCCCACAGACAATGCTCAAGTTGATTCAGAAGAAGCTGGCTGATAAAATGGTGAGTGCTTCCCCCAAAAACATATACATAGAGGATTTTCTCTTCAGTCTGACTTAGGCATAGAGATCAGTCCAGAGTGACAGCTTCTCTGCCAAACACAAGACATCTCAGCTGGTGCTGCAGAATTTCCTCGCCCAGGGTGGGGGCAGGGGAACGTGAAGGGGGTGGAGGAGCAGAATATTAAACAAAAAACCTACTTGCTTACAAATTAGAAGTGAATAACAAGGTTTTCTTACCTCTGGAGCCGTCTAGGGTGATACCAGAGAGGAAACCAGTGGCTGGTTTGCACTGGGTTCTCACATCAGTGAAGCTCTGTTTCTGTCCCTTTCTCTTGGGCTCTGTAGTGTGACCAGGTGATGGAGTTCTCCTGGAGTGCCCTCTGGAACATTACTGATGAGACCCCTGATAACTGTGAGATGTTCCTTAACTACAGTGGCATGAAACTGTTCTTGGAGTGCTTGAAAGTAAGTATATCTGATTTCCTCTGGAGGAACACTGACGTTAGCAGGGGAGATGCAGGGGCCTGGGCAGGATCCCTGGCTGTGCTGTTCTATCAGCAGTACTTCCTATGTTGAACAAGCAGAAAGGAAAAAGCTTGCGTATTTGCTTCTTTCTTGCATCCATCCACGCAACCAGGAGAACAGGAAAACTTACCCTCAACACATCTTCCTCTCTCCCCATCTTTTCTACAGTCCCCACTCAGTAGGACAACGGTAAATACTGGGCCCTGGCCTTGATTCTTTAATTTCACTTGTATCTTGAACACTGGAGATTCCATTTGGTATCTGCTAAGGAACCACTGCTGACTGTTGTGAAACAGCCTTTCTAGACAAGCTGTACAATCTTTTTCTGGGTTTGTTTGTTGTCAGTATCACCATGGCCCTACAGTTGCATAATCCTGTTCTTCGCTTGCTTAGGAGTTCCCGGAGAAACAGGAGCTGCATCGCAACATGCTGGGCCTCTTGGGTAACGTAGCAGAGGTGAAGGAGCTCCGCCCACAGCTTATGACCTCCCAGTTCATCAGTGTGTTCAGGTGAGTGCCTGCTAACAAACAGCTGGGCTGGGGCAGGGTGAATGCTCCAGAGCTCTGCTCCTGCATCACCTGGAAACTTTTAAACCTCTGGTGCACAAGTGCCTCTAAATGTTCTCTTCTCTCGGCAGCAACCTGCTGGAGAGCAAAGCAGATGGGATTGAGGTCTCCTATAATGCCTGCGGTGTGCTCTCCCATATCATGTTTGATGGTCCAGAGGCTTGGGGTATATGTGAGCCCCACCGGGAGGAAGTTGTAAAGAGGATGTGGACAGCCATCCAGAGCTGGGATATCAACTCCAGGAGAAATATCAACTACAGGTGAGGAAAAGTTTGGCTCACGTAGGAGCCAGGATTGTCACAGGAAGCAAGCACCAACAGAGAGAAGGGAGGAGGTACGGCCCAGCATGGAGGCTCTGTTTCAAGTGAAGAAGAAGCATCCTCAGGGAGATATTCTCTAGTGAGGGTGTTAAATCTTGCTTTGAAACTTGTTACACAGGCTGCTGGAATTAGACACCTTTCCAGGCAATTCCTATGGGAGAGGTGTGGGAGTCCAACAGAATTCCTCCTGCATGTTTCTGGTGAAGTTGTGTAGTTCAGGAAATCCACGATCTGACTATCTGGGACTGCCTAAGCCTTTTTCTCTGAAACCGCTGGCCTTCACCTCCTGAAGTCTGTTTGCTTTTCCAAGTCACATAGTTTGCTGTAGCTTTTAGATATTTAGACACCGTTTGCAGAAATCCCTTTGAGGGTTAATACAACTGGTGGAATCCTCCTGTCAGAGGGTGTCAGGTACTCTGTATTGCCACCGCGCCTGGCAGGGATCCAGAATGAATGGCATTCCAGTGCCTGAGCTACCCTATAGACGCATTATTGTCAGAAAAACACACCAACCATTGCACGTGAGCTGCCAGCTTCAGCTGGGTGTCATTTTGCTTTGGCCCCTGTGCAGGAAGCTCAGTGCTGCTGGGTTGTGAGGAAAGGCAAAGGGTGGAGATCAGTCCTTGGACTCAGTTGCATTCTTCGCAGCTATTTATCTGGGCAGCATGTTTATGCTGCAGCGGTAGGGCCTGTGCGCCTGCCAGCGTTGCATGTGACACAGCCGTAGTCTTCAATTCCAGAATCGTTGACGTGCCAATGGATTTACTGCTATGGTATCTGGGAGCACAGGGTTTCTATCGCTTTGAGTGGCAAAGGTGCTGAAAGAAGCAGCTCTTGGATTTTTAACAACTTCTGCAATATTCTTGTGCAGGTCATTTGAACCGATCCTTCGACTTCTTCCACAAGGGATCTCCCCAGTCAGCCAGCACTGGGCTACCTGGGCGCTGTATAACCTGGTCTCTGTCTACCGTAAGTTCCCTTTTCCAATCACATCCACTGCACTGTAAAAGTTTAGCTGTGTAGGTAGAGAGAACCTTCTGAGAATGCTGCAGGAATGTCCAGGCAGCACAGCCAGACAAAAACCAGTGAGATTTAGTGCGCAGGAAATTCCTTCAATGTTTCGGTCCTTCTGGCCATGCTCTTATGTTCTCGGGCATTTTGTGTCCGTTGTTTTCACAGCCAGGGCAACCCTTGCAAGCTGGCTCCATAAAAAAATAAAAGTTTTGTGACTTCTCAGGCCACAGGCTTCTCCTTCCCCTCCTGTCACTCTCTGCACCGCTCTTGTGAAGGTTCACAAGGATCTGTTTTATTCTCTCTGCAGCTGACAAGTACTGCCCGCTGCTGACCAAAGAAGGTGGGATTCCCCTTCTGAAGGACATGATTAAAATGGCCTCAGCACGGCAAGAGACCAAGGAAATGGCCCGGTAGGAAACCAATGTCCTTTCATAAAACTTAGCTTTCATTTAATTTTTATTCTTCTACATCAAGTAAGGCTGCCAAAGAAAGGCCTGTAGTGGTGTGTATGAGGGGTGAGAAGTGAACACAGGAGAAGAGCAGGAAAAAGATGAAAACAGAAGACTAGAGAGGGGTTTAGAGGTGGGCAGTACACACAGATCACTCAGGGTTGATGGATGCCAGGCAAACTGGTTATAGAAGTGGTGCGTTGGAGAGGGGAGCCAGATCGCTAACTGCATTGTATGTAGATCGTCTCTGATCATCGCTATGCTCCAGACTTGTGTGGGCTCCCCGTCCAGAATCTTACTGGCCTGTCATGAAAATTGTTGACTGCACAGCCAAAATGAGAGGAAACTTCAAAAGCTGGCGAGAGTCCATCACCTTTATGAGCTTCCCTGACTTACTGCATTACCTGACCTCCCTTTGGAGGCATTCTTTCAGAGTTTGAAAAGCCAGCTGCAGTTTCAAATCACTGGCAAAGCGAGAGCTATGATTTCATATCTGCAGGAGGAATATAAGAGAGAGGTAGAGATCAGCTGGGAATACACACCTTGGCAGCAGGCGTTCCCTGTGGCTGAAGGGTTGATAAATGCTGGAGGGGACTGAAGCCTCTCACCGTTAGGCAGATGGCGTGTGGCGATGGGACATTGCAGGACTGGTAAATTAAAATAGGAGCAGCAGGGACAGGTGACAGCAGAGCGAATGACAGGCATCCATACACACGTTTCCTGATGTGATTAAAAGTTGTCTGACAGCTTGGATATGGGGGTGATGAATGAACAGTCACATATGGATCTGGATATATACTAATATGATTTGACATTCTGAGGGGATGAACTGGGAGCTCTGAGCTGCTTTTATGGAGTGCACTGGTTTTGACACCAGTATTGGTTGATGCATATCCCACAAGAGACTGCCTGCTGCAAATAGCGTGCATTTACAGAGACACCAAGCTGTTGGACAGTTCTTACGTTACTGTCCCACACCTGCAACAAGCTTTAAACTAAACCCTCTCTCCTTGTCCTTGTTTTATCCCTAGGAAAGTTATAGAGCACTGCAGTAACTTTAAGGAGGAGAACATGGACACTTCCAGATAGAGGCAATCACCTCACGCCTCTCGCCAGCACTGTATCCAGCTTCTCTCTAATTCACTGTACATAGGGAGGACTCTTTCTTACCAACTCGCCTGTTGGAAGGAAACTTTATGTGTGTGTGTGAGACCCTCAGTAGATGAAGGTGAACTGGGGAAGGGGGGAGGGACTTTTTGCACAACAAAATGCTTTCCTTAAATTAGTGGACTTTTTTTGTTATGAAGTTTCAGGTTGAAGTTCTGTGTGTATGATTTCTGTATAAAAAGAAAACAAAAAACAAAGACAACTACATTATGTATCTTTTAACCTTTTAATTTTAGGCGACACAGAGAGCCTCAAATGACCATGAGCTTGAAGACCTAGTTGTGTGATTGCTAGTGTGAGATTTTTATTTCCCACTTTTTAGAAAATTCCCTTTTGCTGTATTGCATGAGGTCCTGTAATGTCTGCAAGAACACCAGTTCTGAATCGGTATTGGCTGCTCAATGGGGTTACAGGCAGCAACGAGTTATTTATTTGGTTAGAGAGGTTGGGGAGCACAATACCAGAGAGTTAGACCAAAAGAACTGACCTTTTTAGTGATATTTGTACATGGAAGAAATGGGGAGGAAAGATCTTTCAAGTCAATTCACTCCCTTAAGGGTTTTTTTTATAGAAGACTCACATTAATGGAAGCACTGCTACCTCTATGTGGGTCACGCGGAAGTAAGACATTCCCATTAAAGTCAAGAAGTCTGTTTTGTCCCCTTTGGCAGTACAGTGGGATCTGCCAGCCCACCCAGCCTCATCAGGCCAGGGATGACCATTAAAACCAGTTACACAACCTTGGCAACACAGAGCTTTTCTCTCTAAAGGAGCCTGTGCAACAAGGAACAAGGTTTGTTCACAAAGGGCTACGCATCTTCATTCCAGTCCTCCACCACCTTTTTATTTGTGTTCTGTTTTATGGGGAAGAGCTACAAATGCCAGAGCGCGTATTTCCCCTCTGCAGAATAAGCTCCACTAGGCCCCAGTCCAGAGCGGCTTGTGCCACTTGTGCAAGTCCCCGTAAGGGACTGGAGCTGTTCCATTCTTTCTCAGGCTCCAGCAGTGCGAGCCGTGCTCAGTGGCAAAGTCATCTGCCTTTTCTGGAAGCTACTGTAGCACAAGTGCTGTAATTGGAGGTGCTAAAGTCCCCTCCTGAGACTGGGGAGTCCCCAGGCACCCTTCCGAGGCCAATCCCATGAAATAGCACCTCTTGTTCCACCCCAGCATCTTCCCCCTCTTCTGGGAAGCAGAAGGCGCTATTTTTATCTGACTCCCACTGGCACTTACCGGTGCAGTCCCGCTTGCTCCACAGCATCACTCCAATTTACATGATGTAGGTGAGAGTCCCTCTAAGGCGGTCTTCACCGGCAAGACTCCAGACCTGTAAAGGTTCAAGAAGCCAAAGGCCAAGGTTTGCCTCACAGACAGGCTCTGTGTGCAGTCTGTGCTTAAAGCCTCTGCTTGCCACAGTTCTTTTTTCCCTAGAAGGGATTTAGAAAAGGTTTTATGTCTGGTAGCAGTAAGAGGAGACCACGGCCGTGTGAGTTAGGACATTTCAGGCCTCTGAGCACAGTAACCCTTGCTGCTCTCTTCCCTTGTATACATTGCTCTCAGATTTGACTCGCTGCTATGAGGTTCTTCTAATGCTCAGAGTTCATGTTGCCATTGCTGAGCACATTATAGACAGATCCTAGATACACAAACTGACACTTTAAATGACAGAACACAGCTGCCCTGGAGAGGTTTACTTTTTCTGCCAATATGGTGTTATTCAATGTCTTTTTTTTTTTTTCTCCTTTTTAACCATACGTCATTTGTTTTGATATTGTGAGATCTGTACTTTTTTCTTTAAGTATTTTTCAAACTTATATATATTTTTGTGTCACTTTTGAATTGTTTTCATACAGTTTGGAAAACTTGACAAATTATACTTTTTTGCAGTCGTTTGATTGAAATGTACTTTTCTCTCTCTTTTTCCTGTTCCCCAAGAATGTGTGTCCCTATGAGCTTTGAAACAGGGAAGCTTATTTCAAGATCTGTTTTCTGTATAACATTTGCTGATCTTCCTTCTAGATGCAAAACTAAGAGAGGCTGCAAATACTGCCAGCCAGCCTCAGTGCATTAGGGGAGTCAGGCTGTGCTCATTTAATCTCCATTTAGCGCCGCTGTCCTTTTGAAGTTGTTTCACGTGACAGTGCCACCCACTAGGCTTTCTTCCTTTCTAATGCCAATATAGTGAAAGCTCCTAGCACTAAAATCCTGAGTCACTTGACAAAAAGTACTTGAGATTCTGACTATGTTGGCAAGGTGGGAGTGGAACAGAAGGGGACACATCAAAGATGTGAGAGATGTCAGAGAAACCCATGTCCCCAGAATGCAGCTGCCAGCTGGGGAGATAGCTGGAGCTCAGGAACTCCCATCTCAGCTAGAGCAGACCTCAGCCTCGAGTTGTTATCACAGCCAAACAATCAGGCTTTACTTTGAGATTTTGGCACAACTACACCAAGGTTAATGAAGAACCGATGGCTTGGTTCCAGCTGCCTCAAGACCCCAAAGGTTTGGGTTTTTCAAATCAGTGCCCATATAAGTGCAGCTGTTACTGAAGCCACCTGCTGGCAAGCTGGACCATGGTGTCCCAAACTAAGATCCAAGCTGCCTCAAACCTTTGTTTCATGTTGTACAGGTAACCTCTATCCTCACTGCTCGCATATCCTCATCAAGCTGTACCTGAGCCTGAACCAGGATAAAAAGATTCCCAACAACATGGAGATGAACGGAGTCAGGCCAGCCTGCCGGAAGAGCTTAGCTTTCTGCAGCCTGTCACTGATCCAGGGAAACGGGGAACTAGAACTGGGCTGTTACAGTTAGTTACACAGAAGGTTTTGAGTCAGGCCACTAGCAAGGTAAATTCCTGAGACAGCATTTTAAAAGAAATAGCATCCCTACTAGAGTAACATGAGCTTTGGCTACAGGCTTCAACGTCTTTAAGCCAACAGACTTAGGGAGCTGAAAAATAACGTTTACTTTCAGTAAAGAGCAAAAGAGAGAAAGGTATCCTCTGAACACCTGAGCGTAATCCAGGAATTCCTGTAATCAGGGGTCTGAAACTAGGTTGCACCTCGGTTTCCCTACCTGATGAATTGTTGCACCCCAGGCATAATGCACGTACCGTGACCTGGAGTTAATGAATTGCTGCTGTAGATCCAGCACTCAGGACAGAACAGGATAGCTCTCTGCAGACATCATACCAATATTCTGCAAAGGAGGTGAGGGCAAAGTGGATGATTTTTTATGAAGGTCTAATGTAAGAGGGGAAGTTGGATACCCTGAAATGCTTGACTGTTACTGAGAAGCCTCTCAGGCCTTACAGCTTTGCTGGATGAAAGGAATGAACCAGGAGACTTCTACTCCACACAGAATTATAGAGCCAATGACCAACCCTGCCCAGAAAATTAGAACAGGGTTCTATCTGTCAAAAGAAAAGCCAGCTGGAGAGAAGTTCATAGTGTGTAAAGACATGGCAGAGGGGCTCCTTGTGCTTTGTGGTTGTTGTCCCATTCAGGTTTTCATTCACGTTTTCCCTACTACATTTCCTTTAATATTCAAAAGAGAGCACAAACTGTCAAGCAGAGCACAAGCACAACTCGATAGTTCTCTGCAGAGACCATGCCAACAAAGGAACCCTCTACCTTGACTGTACATGGTTTCCTTCCTAGCTGGAGGATGCCTCGTCGTTCAGTGGCCGCAGTCAAGGATGCAGCAGTCCTCAGCACGCAGGGTGTCAGCTGTCTGCCATTTCCTCTGGAAAAGATAAGAGAACTAATTAGTGGGCAGCTTTCCACAAGTGCTTCCATTTTACTAGACCTGTAGGAGGAACTGCTTGTACAAATTGGCATCTTCTTGTATGATGCTTAACACCCAGCAGCACCAGACTTTCTCATCTAGACCAAGCCAAGAAAGTTTAGCACTGCTATTTGTGGCGATTAACAACATTGCAGAGAATTCACCCGCCCCACTGCATCATGGCTGCTATTGCCCTGCACCTGCCTGCTGCCTGAAACGGTGTGTTCAGCGCTGAATCCCACCCTGCTTGTCACCCTGGTTGGGCTTCTGCTGCAGTCACTCTGGTCTCTGCAAAAGAGAAGTCAGAAGAAAAGTTTTGGAGCTGTGAGCCTGTTTCTCTCTCATCACTTGAAGAAGGCAAATAATCACCGGTCGAACAAGAGCTGTAGGGTCACCGCATTCAGGCACTGCTCCACAGAAAAGACTTATCTTGAGACGGTTTAGGGAGGAACCTGCCACAGTTCAGGTGTCAGAGGGTAGCTTGTGCTGGAAAAAAGATAATTAAAAGTAGGGAACCAGCTGGTCTCCACAACAACCACATGTATGAAGCAGAGTGGGTAATGGTCACCAGGAATGGATGAAAAGCAACATGGGGGCTGGATGAGAAGACAGCACTTAAAAAAAAGGAATGAGGTTTTTTTTTTGAAACACTTCTGCTCTTTCAGACTATATTTTGATTTCACGTAACTGTCACTGATTCTCTGTAATTCTTTTCTTGGTTAAAAAAATGTTTTTAAACTAACCAAATATGTATTTCCTTGTTTTGCTTAAAGAAAATAACCTCCATTATAACAAGCAAGCGTCTGCTTTTACTCTGTCCATTGACCTGCCTAATGTTGAGAGGCCTGGTTCAAATGTTTGTACATGGTGAAACCAAGCAAAAAAATAATAATGCACAACTATTGCTTCCTTACAATTCTGAATGAATTAACTTTTCTGTTGTATCCATTGGATACCCGCTGTGTATTAAACCTAGTGCTTAACAATGTCTTCTTCCTTTGGTCTAAGAATGTGGTTTCTTTAGGTGCATTACTGTCCATTTGCTGTCATATATTTATTTAAAAATGAAAGGAACTGACATGTGTTGATGATGCAGTTCAGTGGCTTTTCCTTTCACCACTCCAGGGGATACAATACTGTTTGTCAATAGAAGAGAGGCATAGAGGAAGAGAGTATTGTTATGAAATTATGTGAGAAGAGAAAAAAACCAAACAGAACAATATTTGACTGGACAGCTTGCCTCTGAACTCTGTAACGGATCTGTGGCTTGCATTCCACAGCCAAGACTTTGTAAGTGGGCAGAACCTGAGTACTTAAAGACTCCAGCTTAAATTAGTCAATCTGCTTTAAGGCCAGCATGACTCTTTCCTGGTCCCACAAGCGTTCAACTCCCAGTTAATTCAATTGTCACTGTAAACTGTCTAGAGGATCAGACTCTAGGTGGCTGAAGTAAGAGGAGAAATCATGTAAAAGTGAACTGCCTCTAGGAAGCTGAGAGAGATTTAGAGAGATACCTTAGGCTTCCAGCAGCATAAAATTCCTAGATGGAATGCCATAAGAATCTAGATTCTCCAGTCAGAAACTTGCTCATAGAGGTTTTCTGGAACTAAGCCTAATTTCAACCAGTCATTTAGGTTAAAACCCTTG